CTTCGTTGAGTGCCTGCCCCCTGGTGGTCAGTGCGCATCATAGTGACCAGTCAAATGGGAGGATGAGGCAGGGGGTCTTGCGGGGGTGAGGCCGACAGAGTCCTAACGAAGCATGCCCGACTCCGGAGACCGGTTCAAGATGCAGATCTGATTTTATTGTTTAAGTGCAGGGACATATATAACATTCCAGACCAATCAGAAGTTTACAACATCCTTAGGGCAACCAATGGTAGGAAAGTTAGGGTACTATGTAGGGGCTCTAGGGGGCTTACTCAGGCGGGCGCTGCCACTTCCCCGGTGTGCCGAGGAAGCTTGTATAGGCGGGGTGTGCTCACGCCATTGCATCCGCCACTGCACTGAGATAAATCTCCTGAGCTCTTCCCACAGCAGCTGGTTCCACAACCATCAAATCTCACAGAACCGGACAGTGCTATTCATCAGGCATGGTGTCCGATTCCTCACATCACCTTTCAACACCTCGTGGAGTCAATGCCAAGAAGAATCGCCGCAGCATTGAAGGCAAAAGGGGGCCCAACGAAGTACTGATGGGGTGGCCATAATAATCTGGCCACTCAGTGTATATAGAAACATCCTCACAAATGAAGATTTTCTAAATACAAATTTCCCTTACAAAATGTTACTTCTACTATTTTTCAGAACTTCTCCTGTTTCTCAAAATAATTAGCTCAAAATAATCCTTATGCCAAAGGGTCATATTTTGGGGTGGCGTGATCTGGTCATATTTTGGGGTAGTATATTTTGGTCTCCTACAATACAAAATGATAACATCCTAGAAAAACTTCTGATTGGGCACAATTTGTTTAAAATTATAGTGAGATATGACTGCCTTCTTCCATTTCAATTAAAGAGTAAATATCCCTTGTATTCTCTTACATATTTCTTTTTAAATCATTTTTCAATTATAGTTGACATAAATTATATTACTTTCAGGTGTTCACCCCGATGATTAGACATTATATAACTTACTAAGTGACTGATCAACCTGATAAATCTCATACCCATCTAACACCATATATAATTAGAATATTACTGACTATATTCCCTATGCTGTACTTTACATCCCAATGACTATTCTGTAACAACCAATTTGTTCTTCTTAATCCCTTCACCTTTTTCATCCATCTCCTCCAACCCCCTTCCCATCTGGCAGCTGTTAAAATGTTCTCTGTATCTATGAATCTGTTTCTGTCCTGCTTCTTCATTTATTTTGTGTGGTTTTTTTTTAGATTCATTTGTTAATAAATATGTATTTATTGCCATTTTATTGTTTATATTTTTATATACTTTATTTTTTTTCTTCTTCTTAAAGAAGACCCTTTAATATTTCACATAATACTTGGTTTTATGGTGATGAACTCCAGCTTTCCTTTGTTGGGTTATCCTTTTACATATTTCCATAGGCAAATGATTTCATAAGCAATGACTACATATGTAAGAAATGGGTTTTCTTTTACATGCAAAGGTAAAGAGAAGACTTTAGCATCTTTCAGTAATAGAATTATTACTAAACAGTTAACATTTCTTGAACATTAACTATGTGTCAGGTACTGAGTTAAGCACTTCACACAAATGATCTCATTTAGTCCTCAAGACAATGGTATAACGTAGGTTCCATTATTATCATCAATTTAAAGATAAGGAAACTGAAATCCCAAGAGGCAAAGTTACATGCCCAAGGTCTGGCAGCTAGTACGTTATGGCTAATAAGTGCTAAAATTTAGAATCAACCCCAGGTCTCTTCTGACTGCAAAGCTCATGCTGGTAACTGCTACTTTTCTGCCTTTCAGTATGTGCCCAAGTGGTTCCCACTAATAAACCCCGATGCCAATCACAGTTCATTAAACATAGTAATAAAGAAGTATTCCATAGATTCAAAAATGTCAAGGTTCATTAAAATCTGACTCTATACTATTGAGCCATAACTGCAACGTGAACATGAAAGAATTACTTACTTGCACAATTTGCCTTATGCCATGTGGAATTAAAGAACTCAGACAGAATCACAACTATTTGCATTCTATCTGCCATTAAAAGACTTCTGGCACAACTATGACTCTCTGAAGTATTCTGTAACAAAAAAGAAAAGAAAAATACAATGTGAATATTTTTAAGAGCTTCCATACAACTTAAGACAAAAAAGAAGCTTTTAAAATAATTAAAATATTTATTCTAAGCATTTTAATATTTTATTTGATATATTCAAATAATGTCATTAATAATAACAATTGTAATAAAACAGTAGCAGCTAACATTTGTTGATACCTGGTTCATTTTCAAGGGAAGAAAATCAACTTAAGACAAAAAATATATTTTATTGATTTTTTACAGAGAGGAAGGGAGAGAGAGATAGAGAGTTAGAAACATCGATGGGAGAGAAACATCAATGGGAGAGAAACATCAATCAGCTGCCTCCTGCACATCTCCCACTGGGGACGTGCCCGCAACCCAGGCACATGCTCCCGACCAGAATCGAACCCGGGACCCCTCATTCCGCAGGGCGACGCTCCATCCACTGACCCAAACCGGCCTCGGCAAAATCTTTGTTCTTAAGTGTCTGCTTCTATAGTACTATCTCAACAATTTAGGCCCAAACTGCATGTATGTCATATTTCTTAACTTTTTGTGCATGGGAAAAAATTCTGGAAAGTTGTTCACAAAATGTAGCAGTGGTTATGTGGGCATAATGGAAATATGCTGATTTTTATTTTTTTGCCTCTTTCACACTGTCTAAATTTTTCTACAATGAACATATATTATTTACATAATTTTTTACTCTGGTGGATAAATTATCACAAAACATTTAGTTTCATCTTCTAGGTAATTTTTTGTTCAAAATCTTATAATCCACAAGAAAATGTGACACATCCAGTTTGTACCCAAAGTTTGTACCCAGATAAAAGAATATGCTTTCGCTGTAACTGGTTTGGCTCAGTGGATAGAGCGTTGGTCTGTGAACTGGAAGGTCCCAGGTTTGATTCCCGTCAAGGGCGGGCACATCCCCGGTGGGAGGTGTGCAGGAGGAAGCTGATCGATGTTTCTCTCTCACTGATGTTTCTAACTCTCTCTCTCCCTTCCTCTCTGGAAAAAAATCAGTAAAATATATTTGAAAAAACAAACAAACATGCTTTCTTCCCACAAATCACTTTAATAACGAAATTCATGCTATGCAAATAAGTCCCAGTTCCTAAATTATTTGATCCTTTTATATTTCCCTTCCCTTTTGCCCTAAGCAAGGAACTAAGTCCTGATGACCCTTCATTTTTTCAAAGTTAATGAACTCCTAGTACTTACTAAGCACTATAAGAATCCTGGTATTTTGAGGATACAAAAGTATTAGGGAATGCCATCAGCACTGGGCTTCAAGAAACTCCCCAGATGCATAAAGATAAAAAGTTAAATAGTGTGATGAGTAATAAAGAGAAAGGCTGATAGCTCTAGAGAAGAATTAATCAACCATGTGGGGTGAGAAAAGAGGGAAGGACTTAAGGGCAGAATTCTTGCTTTGAAATCCTATATAACAAAAGCCTAATATGCTAAGTGTCCAACTGTTCAACCGTTCGACCAGTCATTATGACGTGCACTGACCACCAGAGGCAGATGCTCCAACCAGTAGATTAGCTTGCTGCTGGGGTCTGGTGGATCGGGACTGGGTGAGATGGGCGGGACATGCTCTGGAGCCCTCCTGTGGTCCCTCCCCAGCCCTAATCGTGCACCCGTGGGGTCCCTTGGCCTGGCCTACACCCTCTCGCAATCCAGAACCCCTCAGGGGATATTGGAGAGCTGGTTTCGGCCCGATCCCCACAAGCCAGGCTGAGGGACCCCACCAGTGCATCAATCCATGCACCAGGCCTCTAGTACCTAATGTTTATTTTAGTATGCTTACCCTCTCTGAGGCTTAGTTTTGCCCTCTCATTAAAAGATACATCCAAATAAATGCTTGCTTTTAAAATAGTGAATTAAAGAAAGCACTTTAAAAGCTCCTTTCTTGAAATTGCTTTCAGAGCAATATCGGCCATAGAAGAAAATTTCTATAATCACTTAAATATTACAACATAGCCTAAGGAGTCAGACAAGTCTCAGTCACTAGCTGACAATCTTGAACAGCTGAGGTAAGCTCTCAAAGGTTCAGTTTCATAATCATGAGTCTTCTATAACATACATTCATCACTTCACACCTAGTAGATAATTGATATACACTTTCTCACCTACCTACCTTGCTGCCAACCTGAAATGTTCTAGGTGGGTATAGTTGACTAAGTGTAATCAGTTACATGAGTTGAAGCTTCATAAGCAGACAACTGGCTATTTAAAAAATCAATACAGCCTTAGCTGGTTTGGCTCAGTGGATAGAGCGTCAGCCCTTGGACTTAAGGGTCTCAGGTTAGATTCTGGTCAAGGGCATGTAACTTGGTTGCAGGCTCAATCCCTGGCCCTGGTTGGGACTTGTGTGGGAGGCAACCAATCAATGTACCTCTCTCACATTGATGTTTCTCTCTGTCTCTCCTACTCCCTTCCACTCTCTCTAAAAATCAATGGAAAAATTTCCTTGGGTAAGGATTAATAACAAAAAAATTAATATAGCCTTGTTGGTGTGGCTCAGTGGTTGAGCGTGGACCCATGAACCAGGAGGTCAAGGTTCGATTCAGGGTGAGGGCATATGCCCAGGGTTGCGGGCCCTATCCCCAGTAGGGGGCACACAGGAGGCAGTTGATCAATGATTCTCTCATCACTGATGTTTCTCTCTCTCTCTCTCCCTTTCTCTCTCTCTGAAATCAAAAACTTATTTTTTTTAAATTCATACAGCTCAGTCTGTATAAGGGGTCAATGTGTGGAATAGTTCACTTGAGGAAGACATCAGTGTAGTTGGGAGAAATTAGGAAGTGAGATTTGAACTAAGCCCTATACTAAGAAAGGGAAGAGGATTCTAAATTAGAATAAAATGATCAATGGGTGAAAATGGAATGATTACATGGTATTCAGGAAGTATTCAGTAGGCTAATATAGCTAAATGGAGCGTACTGTGAAAGTAGAGGCAGCAAAGGGTCAATTTAGGGCAAGAGTCTTGAGGGTCAAGAGATTCAGACAATGAGAAATTTTTAAAAAATTTTGAGGACAGGGACATGAAAAGCAGAGTTTGGAGAACACAGGTCTGTAGGTTATAATATGTAGGGTGAAGAGGCAGAGAACATTTCCATAGTTCAGATATGATGAAAAGATGGTGGCAACCATGGAAATGGAAGGGAAGTGATGACTAACCCTAAGTATATCATAAATGATGTAATGGTTCTCAATGCTCCAAATGCATGACTTACTTAATCCTTATAACAACTCTATGTAGTAGTATCCTTCTGAATTCAAACCCAGCCTCTTCCACTACATGGCTTTGGATAAGTTACATAATCACTCTGAGGCTGTTTCTTAAACCTTAATATCCATCTATATATGCCTAGGTTCCTCATCTGAACAGAAGTTCCTTTGGGAAGAAAACTTTGTATTATATCTTTGTATTCCCAACATCTAGTAAGTGACCAAAAAACACTGGCCCTTGGTTTATATTTAAAATTATTTTTTAAAATATATATATTTTATTGATTTTTTACAGAGAGGAAGGGAGAGGGACAGAAAGTTAGAAACATCAATCAGCTGCCTCCTGCACACTCCCCACTGGGGATGTGCCCACAACCAAGGTACATGCCCTTGACCGGAATCGAACCTGGGACCCTTGAGTCCTCAGGCTGACACTCTATCCATTGAGCCAAACAGGCCAGGGCTATATTTAAAATTATTAATACTCAAATACTCATAACCACTTAGCAGAACCCTAACCACAATAAACGCAACCATCCATTTTCATCATGCCCGTTTGGCAAAAAGTAAACAACAAAGCAGATTATTTGCACAATAAATCCGTAATCCCAAACTGCACTCCACACATGCATTATCTCCACTTAAATGTATCAAAAACACCTCAGAAGCAACATTTACAAAATCAAGTTCCTATCTCCACCACCACCACCACCACCACCACCAAACAGGTTCCTCCCTCCATTTGGGTAAATAGCCACCCTACTCACTAAGCAACTCTTATAAAAACACTGGAAATCATAATTTCCTTTCTTTCACTCTCCACATTCAATTAACTACTAAGTTTTGTCAATTCTATCTCCTAAATCTATCCATTTTTTCCCATTACAATGGCCCACGTGTAGTCTAGCCACCATCATTTCTCTTATCACTGCAAGAGTCTCTTCATTTCCCCACACCAACTCTTCCTCTACCCTCCCAGTCTGTCCCTCCATTCCCCTCAGATAGCCTGCCAGAATGGTCTTTTAAAGTACAAATCTGATCATGTCATTCTGCAGAATTAAATCTTTCACTAACATTGCAATGCTTCAAAATCAAAGTCTAAAACCCTTAACATACCCTACCAGGCCCACATGACCAGGAACCTGCCTATTTCTTCAGGCTCAGCTCACTAGTCTCCTCATGGCTCACAGTGCTTTAAGTTCTTTCTAGTCCTCAAACACAGCAGACTCCAATCTCAGTCTTCACATCTGCCATTTCTTTATATGTATACCTTCTCTCCTGAGCCACAACCTCTCAAATTTTAGGTGTCAGATTTGTCACTGACCACTCTATCTTCCCTCAGCCCTAGTGAAGATCAGCACCCTGTTATGTGCTTTGGTATCATCTGAGGTTTTTTCCTGCACAACACTTATCACACTTGAGCTAAGTAATTACTTGTATAATAAAATGTTTGTCAGTTTTCCCTATCAGACCACAAGCTCTGCTCATTCACAGCTACATCCCTAGTAACTACCACTAGCCGTCACTCAATTCTTTGACTGAATACATAAGCAGCATTACATTTTCTGATCTCTAATGAAAGATACATTATTATGTTATGCTATGTTCCAATTTTGTCTATATTCCTAAGAATTTATTAATCTACACTAAAAGTATGTTGAACACTTCTAGGTACACACCCCCAATCACTAGCACCTTCATAAATAATTGTACATATCTATATGTCTATCTATATAAATTTTAAACAAACCAAGTAGAATAAGATAGAGTTTAGTAATTCAGAATATGTGGGGCCAAAGTATCCTGGCAACCACTCTGATGATATTAAGCAGCTCAATGAAACCACATTCCTATCAGTTTAAACTAAAAGAAGAAAGTATGACTCTAAAGAAGGAGGAACCAATCAGTTCTACACTCAGGTTTCTACAAATCACTGTATTCTTCACCTTAAGATAACACTGTATGTGATCCTGTCCCAGCAATTCCAAGAGGAAGTAAAAAGAAAATAGAATTCTCATCAGATAATTCTATTACGATTAAATGAATTAACTTGCTGTACCACAGAAACAGCTTGCTAATTTCTCCTTTGATTCTTTTTTTCATTGTTATACTCCCCTCCTCCCTCAATCAAGCCATGGACATAGGTTCACTCTAAATCAGGGGTCCTCAAACTTTTTAAACAGGGGGCCAGTTCACTGTCCCTCAGACCGTTGGAGGGCCGGACTATAGTTTAAAAAAAACCATAAACCAATTCCTATGCACACTGCACATACCTTATTTTGAAGTAAAAAAACAAAACGGGAACAAATACAATATTTGTATTTGCATGTGGCCCGCGGGCCATAGTTTGAGGACCCCTGCTCTAAATAGATGTGAAAGGCCCTAGCCAGTTTGCTCAGTGGATAAGAGTGTCAGCCTGCGGACTGAAGGGTCCCTGGCTCGATTCAGGGCAAGGGCACATGCCCAGGTTTCGGGCTCAATCCCCAGTAGGAGGTATGCAGGAGGCAACCGACCAATGATTCTCTCTCATCATTGATGTTTCTATCTCTCTCCCTCTCCCTCTCCCTTCCGCTCTGAAATCAATAAAAAAATATTATTTTTAAAAAGTAGCATGTGCTTACTGATTAAACTGATTTAAATGAAAGAAGTCTATCTGTGTATAAGAAAATATATTACTCTTGAGAAAAAATCTCCCACGCTCACAAAGGACAACTGATTCCTTCAAATTCACTCCTAAGAAACATTATCCCATATGTACCTTACTGCACATGATGGTTCAGTTCTCAAACCAACCCAAAAAAGCCTACTGAATCCATTAAGTACCTCAGAACCACAGAAATCATACTTTTGAACTAATATACCACATCCAGCTCTGAGGAAAGGAGGGGAAAGAGAAAAGTCTAGAATGAGTTGGAAAGGAAATGCAGATTGGAGAAAGGATTTTTTGCCTTTCTGTTGTTTTTTTTTAATCTCTTTACCCTCTTCCTTTCACACAAGGGTGAGGCGAGCCAGGTGCCCAGGTCACTGGTAGAATCTGAGAGGCACGAAGGAGAAGGAAGTGTTTGGCACGTCCACACTGGGAAGGGGAATTCATGCAGAAATATGTACAGATTGTGTGATGCCCCTAATACTGTACTAGAGTTTGCAGTAATTATTTAACCTCTTCTTAATTCCACAGTATCTACATAAATGAAAAAAGCTTTGCTGCCTCAAAAGACCACGCTTTGCATCATGATCACAGTCATTCTGGCCATAAAACTCACCTTTGCTCAAAACAGAATATGATGTCATATAATAAATACCCTATTAACAGGAACAAGTCTTGGGGACTTTATTTTTAAAACATAGTGAGATGTACATATGTATATATGTATGTGTACATATATACATATACATATATATATATTCCCCTTGTCATACCCAATAGAAGAATGCCTGAAAAATATTGCATGTAAACCTAAATTTATTTAAACTACTTTGAAAACTGGCTCTTTACAGAAAGATTGACCACAGGGTTTATTTAATGCAATAAATCCCCTCTTTACATAAAAAAAATAGATCTATGTTAAGTGATATCAGGCTGACTTAAAACAAGATGTAACTACTACATACACGTCTGTATTTTGCCAGACCAACTATAATTTATGAAGTAATTCCAACCCCATTTTCATGAGATTTCTTGTGCTCTCAATACCAGGGAAACTTCCCCACCCCACAATCCATTACTCATGGTTTTCCTTTACTAGGCATATCCGGCCCCCACCTCGTGACTCCCACCAGCCCTGACAGGCTAATCCTTTCCAGCTCTAGACCCTGTAAGGTTCCTAGGAACAGGAAGGTATCTTCTGTGTCTTTTTGTGTCGTTATTTATCCTGACGCGAGGATATTTTTCCCATTGATTCTCACAGAGAGTGGGAGGGAGGGAGGAGGGGCGAGAGATAGAGACATCGATGGGTTGCCTCCTGTGCACGCCTCGACCTCAGGCCTGATCGAGCCTGCAACCCAGGTACATGCCCTTGATGGGGACTCGGATCCTTGGGTCGGCGGACCCATGCTCTAACCACTGAGCCAAACAAGCCAGGGCTTTCTCTTTTTTAAGTCCTTTACAGCACCCACCCACATGACCAGAAAAGCTCTACGGGTACCAAGAATAGGAGGTAAATTTGCCGTTTTCTAAAATTTTAGCTCCCATTTACTAAGAACAATTACTATGTGCCAATAGTCTACGAGTTCTTTTTATCCCCATCTTACAGATGAGAAAACAAGCACAGAGAATGCAACTTGCGGGGAGAATAGGGCTAATAAGAGGAGAAAACTAAGACTCTAAAATAATACAAGGACAAACTTCTATAAAGTGGGGGGAGATGTCTGAACATTTCTGGCTACAAACTTAAAGCTCCTAACCCCTACAGCTTCCCCACTCCACCTAGGATTTCAGCGGAGGCGGGGTCCTTCCTGGGGACTCCAGGTGGAAATGGGAAGCTGTGGTGGAGTTTGGGGAAGGGAGGAAAAGAGAGGAAGGAAAGGAAAAGGCTAGCCGCTAGCTAGGGTGAGGTCATAGCTATCTGTACACAGTAGGTACCAAGAGGATGCCCGACAGCAGCTACGAAGGCAAACATTCAAGCCCCAAGCCCTAAAACGCCATCCGCTTTTTTGATGCTCAAACTCTCCAGTCCTAGTCCAACCCTTTTTCCTTACAGATGGGGAACTGAGCCCCGCCCCCCAACCTCCGAGTTAACCTCATCACGCCCTCCTTCCCCAACCCTCCCGCCAGAGGTTCCGGGTGTGCTCCTCTACCCACCCCCACGGCGCGGCTGATGTTGTCCATCTTGCTGGCGACCTGTTGGAAGAGGGGGTAACAGGTCTGGCAGAGGCGCACCGGCCGGGCGCCGCGCACCAGACACCCCGTCAGCTCCGCGCTGCTGTTGGCGAAGTCCAGCAGCAGGTCCCGGCACTCGGGATCCAGATCTGGCAGGTCCGGGGGCAGGGACTGTGGCCCTAGCCTTCCTCCCCGCAGCAGGGTCAGAGACAAGTCCTCCACCTCCAG